ATTTCGTTCTTTTAACATCTTTTAGGACGTTTTGCAAGAAGCGGCGGAAATTGTTAGTGAACGAGGAACAACACGTGTGAAAGCTACGGAGGGGTCTGAAGTATTGTATGATGAAGTTGATGTGCAGTACAGGTTCACTTTGGTTCAATTACAATTAATCAGAATCTTTCATGAAGTTCTATTAACCTCTCCTTCGGTTCTGTTTTTCTAAGCGCGAATCAAATACTTTCAGTCCTCGGCATGATCAGCACCCTATAGAGATTATCGTCAGGCACAGCACGGTAGTCTCGAAACCAGCGGATAAACGAACGGCTGTTAGTGCCTTTACCTCCTCGAGTCGGCAGCAACCTTACATTCTTAGAACAATCACGGAGGGGAAAGGTAAGGTGTTTTACATGATGGAGGTCTAAGCAAATTTCCAATTTCGCTTAAACCTCCACTGTGCAAAAATTCATTATCGCTTAGACTTTCATTATGTAAAAGATCATTACCCTTCTATATTTCCTGAAAGGTTTGCACAATTTCGTTTTCAGAAGACACTCAAGTACAAAAATATTTTAGAATCGAGTGGAGCAGAAACGTCCAGTGAAGCCATGCAAATCCAGAAATTTAAAAAAGGTCATCGTAGAGCTTTTTCAGTACCTAATGCAAACGGAAACCGAATGACTATTTCTGTCATTGATAGAGATGAATCTTTAGTTAGTTTTCATACTGAATTTTTTTGCTAAATCAACTAATACATTTGAAATATCCTCAAAGGACGACTTTTTTACACTTTGCTTCAAAAATTTTGTATCCGTCGCTGTGTTTTCAATATGTCGACATTTTATTAGACTTATTGTGACAGGAGAAGTGTGCTCTGCTTAATGAACCTGCTATCTACTTGGTTTTTAGAGAGACGGTCTGCATAAACGGCATACAGTTCGCTATCTTTTAAGGCCAAATAGCCAACAAATGTCGTTAGAAGAAGCAGGTATTGTTGAAGAAAGCGATCCATCTTTAGTTCCAATCTTCAAATTTCCAGATGCTACCGATGTGGATAATGAGTTAGAGGTTTGGAATATGAGTTTTGAACCTTGACATGTTGCTAAGTCTTTTTTTTAAAATTTTTTTTGACATATTTTAGACAATTTTCGTTTTCTTATTCTAAAATAAAGCCATTTCTGGCTAGAAATGAAGAAAATCATGGCTGTTAAATGCAAATTCAAATTAAATTGAACCAGGTAAAATGGAGTCATTCTATCATTGAAGGGGTACGAAAAATAGAAGGTTAACTTCGTTTTTATTAGGTTTGCTATAGTTTTTTCAAAGGGGGGATGGGCTTGGAAAGCCATGGACTTTCAGCTCAAGACACTTACAATTTGAATAAGTTTTTACTGCAGTCTTTAAAAGAATTTCTCTTAAAATCTTTTTTCAGTTCTTTGAAGTTTGCTGTGACTTCTTGTAAGATAGTTTTTCAAGTAAGGCAATTGTAGATCGAGATAAACGAAGAGGAAATTTTATGTTCGCCTGATGAAACGCTCCAACATGGGCCTCGAACTGTTATTAAAAAGGTGAACACTGTAATATGAGCAGTTTATTGGTTTGTGAATTTACATTTAGTTATCGCTTCAGTTTTACGTCGAAAATTTTAGTTCTGGGAAGCTAGATGGAAAGTAACGAATTTCGAATTTTTGCCAGAATGGTTACAGGATAACGAATACCTGCGTACCGGACACAGGCCCCCTCTTCCCAGTTTCGGTTCTTGTTTTAAAAGTATTTTTTCAGTACATACCGAAACGGGTAACATTTGGACTCATTTATATGGTAAGCTTTCATCGCTTAGGGCTGAATTTATCAACTTCTTAAGTTTTGTAAAGTATTTAATGTATCGTTCGTTCTCATTGGCAAAGTATTTCTAATTTAGGTTGTGTTGCGTTTATCGGTGTAGCTGTTTGGTTTCTTACTCGTCCTTCAACAGTGGTGCAGTTACAGGAAAAAATAGTTTTTGGTTTTTTTTTTATTGGTGCAATTGCCTGTATGGGGATGTCATTTGCCTTTCACACTGTACAATGTCATTCCGTTAAAGTTGGGAAATTTTTCAGCAAGTTGGTTATTGTGTTGGTTGATGCTTCATCTTAAACATTATTTTAGAAAGTCTGATAAAAAATGATTTTTATTGGTGTGTTATTTGTCTATGCGTTAATTTTGATTTTGTTCAGACTTGACTATACCGGAATCACTTTGCTAATAGTTGGTTCGTTTATTCCATTTTTATATTACGCATTCTACTGTCGGCCATTAGCACTTATCACTTATACCTCAGTTATATGTATTCTTGGAATTGCTGCCGTTATTGTTTCGTTGTGGGACAAGTTTGCCGAACCTAGGTTCCGTCCTGTTCGAGCCTCTGTTTTTGTTGCTATGGGACTGAGCAGTAAGTCATTTCGGCTTTTCTTGCTTTATAATCTTTCTTTGTTCTTAGTTTTATTTATTGCTACACCCCTATTCAATGCTTTTTAAAGGTATTGGTCCAGTGATACATCTATGGATCACTGATGGGTTGAGTCTTCTGCTAGAAGAAGCCTCTTTGCATTGGCTTGTTTTAATGGGAGTTCTGTATATAACTGGTGCTGTTTTGTATGCTACACGAACACCTGAACGATGCTTTCCCGGCAAATGCGATTTATGGGTAACTTTGATTTCTAATCGGATACTTTGAATCTATTTTTTAAAATTTTTTTGTTTAATGACTTTTATTTAAAATACTTTAGCAGTTATTAAGTATTTCTTTACTTTTCTCAATTTGTTAGCTATTTTTTAATTACAGTTCCAATCTCACCAGCTCTTCCATATGTTCGTTGTTGCTGCTGCATTTGTTCATTTTTATGGTATCACTTTGATAGCTGTTAAGCGTTTAGAGCAGGGTTCTTGTGCAGAGCAACTACAAGAGCGCTATGGGATAACGCAGAAACCATCTTTTTTTCCAAATTTGTTTGGCATGGAAAATTGACTTGCATTGAGGTTTTCCTTTATTATCTGTTCTTATTCTGTAAATTTTTAAGTTATTAATATTTTGTTAAATTGGCCAGAGGTCTTTGAGTTTTCTATTTCCTTCATCTTTTTCGGCTGTAATTTTGTATCTATTTTCTGTGCTTGTGGTTTGTACATACTGATAGAAGTCACATTATTTTCGCATGATGATTTTTATGCTCTAAATCCGATGGGAATTCTTTGAAACTTTTTGGATGTTGATGCTTCATGGTCAAAAAAATTGGTTTTGTTTGGAGAAATATTGGACAAGTTTTAGAGTATTAATCAAGTTTTTTTTCGGATCTTTAACTTTTTGTTCCTTTTTTTACTTTCACTTTTGTTTAGCAAATGTTGATTTGCATTGGGTTTGCAGCGCAGGACAGTATTATTATTATTATTATTATTATTATTATTATTATTGTTTTATTTTCCTCTTATAGTTGTAGTTGTTTCTGTAACAATATGGATGGGAAAACTACACGTTAGATCTATACAAAGTAAATAATCAGTACACTTTTTATCATACACAAAAAAATAAAAAAGAACCCGATTTGCTCAAATAATATAAAGATAGGCTTGTGAGCGTTATTGTTAAAAATTCTTTTTTTGTTTTGTTCGCTAGAGATGAACAATAGATGGCTCATAGGAGCCGTTTAAATAATCTTATTTTAAAATAATCAAGGTTAGGAAGTGAAGGCGAAGACTGTACAACATAATTGGGAACATGTGAAATATCATGAATGTTTCTTTTATGGTGAAGTGTGATTTGCTACTTTAATCATGCCGCTCCAAGATGTTGAGGATATCTTTTGTCCATTCTTTATATTTCCTCTTTTAGGGGGATTCACTTCACACAAATTGGTTGGGATATGCATTTTGGGATCTGGGATAACGGTGCTTAAAACTGTGGCAACGACCGAGAAAAAAAGTAGAGGATTTGAACTTGACAAATATTCAAAGAAGGGGGCTCTATGAAGCGGTGAAACTTTGGAACCTTGTTTTTATTATTTATTACTGTCATTAATCAGCTTCTTCCTAGTTTGGTCCATTACTTCACTGATTAAGTAGTTCTTTTTCGGGGTCCGTTTCTGGTCTCGTTTGTAACGCAGCGGAATATTTGTATGGACTATTGCCATTCATATGGTTTTCCTTTCGAGCCTGCGCCTGATAGGTAGAAAAGCTTTCTTTGTTACGGCAACAACACCAAGCTGCTAATACGAGCGATGCAATGATCAGTACCAATCCAAGGGCCTAAATTTTTATTGTGTTGGAAAAAAGATGATTGACGAAGCATTATTTGTCTTTTTTTGAAACGACGCTTTCGTTTTGATGCAAATACCAGCTGATCAAAAGAACTTACCCCTGTCCCAATTGCAAACTGTTTCTTATTTACGCTACTTAGGAATGATGTGACAATCGATGCGGTTCCTAAAATTTATTTGTTAATGACTTTTCTACTCGCTCTTAGAGTTGAATTCATAGTGAATGATTTGAAAGATTAGCAAGTTTGAACACTGAGAAACTCCGTTTGCCGAAAACACCAAATATCTTGAAATCATACTGTTATGCGGAGGTTTATTTGTAGCAGTGACAAAAGTCCTTTCGGGTTGACCTCTTATTTTCTGGATCCTTTCAGTATCAACGTTGTGTGTATTCAAACCTTCATCATCTGACTCTTCAGAACTTGCATCTTTTCTTGTAATTGTTTTTATTGTTGTTGGAGGCAATGGAAGTGTTCTAGTCGTAGTAGTTATAGTATCAGCTGTGGTTCTTGCATCTATCGCACTTATTGACTTTTCATTGCCATGGTCTCTAAGTTCCTTTTCTTCGGAAAATTCATCAATTTCATTACTGCTGAGTTCGTCGTTTATCAAATCATCTAACACATCCATTTTTTCTACAGGGTCTTGATTTGTAATACTGTTGCTTTCATGTTTCAATGCTCCTTTAACTTCATCTAAAGAAAACTTCATTGATGTAAATCATGTTTCAAGAAAAATTAAAGCTTTAGCAATTTCCTTCTTTTTAGAGGGACATATTAAAAGAGATTTTTTAAAGCTAAAAGTTGAAATGAGACAATTTGTGTGGTTTGCTGCACGTTTCCTTGTTTAGCTAGATTTCAGCTACAAGAAAGTTTTGACTTACTTGCTTCTCTTTCATCTGGCTGGAATTTTGTTGAAAATGTTCGCAATGCATCTATCGGAGATTCCTTACTGCCTGAATCTTCAATGTCTACTATCTCATTCGGTTTTTTTAGAATAGCATCGTTATCATCAGTGCCATCATCTTCCTCTTCCATTTTTTCTGTTTGTGATTCTATTGGTTCAGTTTCTGTTCTAGTAAACATTGTAGTAGATTCAGTTGAAGTAATTGTAGTTTCAATAGTTGTTTCTTCTGTAGTTTCTGTAGTGGTCTCCTCCTGATCAGGTTCAACAGCCAAGTCTTTACTGTTATCTTCATCGTCTGTTTCGTCGAAGAAATCTGTTTGCCTGCTAATTTCTTCCTGAGTCTGTAAAGAATCAAATTTCATTGCTCTCTCTTAACTTTTTTCGATAAAAAAGAGAGTTTGATTAGAAAAAGAGTAGTCAAAGTTGGTTTGACTTCTAATAAATCTTTAACGAACGGTATTTTTGTTTGTACGTAACTGACTGGATGGCTTTTGAGAAAGGATCAAGATTTAGAGTAAACAATGCCAAAAAAAATAAATAAATAAATAAATAAACTATGTTCAAAAGTAGCTGTTCTACGGGAAACTAAGAGTGAAAATTTCGATTTAAGTTTGTGGGCTTATCAAAACTATAAAAGAAGCTGAGAAAAATACAGTCTTAAAGCGGCCGAGAAGTCTGTTGGTGATATGGTACCTTTTTGTTAATTGCCTTAGTTTGCTGTTTTAGCGAATCAGTGTTTTTACTTTGATCCTCGTCACTTGCATTGGTATCTGCTTTGCCGTAATTACGATCTTCATCATTAGCATTGTCATCGTCATCACCGTCAATATCGTCATCAGCATCATCGTTACCGTTGTCTTTTTCGGTATCCTTGTCAGTGGTACTGTCGCCATCTACATCACTGTTTTCTTTGCCAAAAATGTCATCAAACTTATCGTTGTCATCCATCTTGTCCTCGTCTTCTATTTCACTTATTTCATCTTTTTCATCTGCATTAGAGTTAAATATTAATTTTTTATTAAAGGGAACATTACTGATCAAAGAGACATTATTATTGACAGTTTTTTTCCTACCAGTGCCATCTCCATATTTGTCTGTTTCAATATCAAAATCAGTAATTTCCGACTCAATCCAAGTAACTGTTTCTGGGATAATTTCATTGTCCTCAGCATCTAACTGACGTAATTGCAAAACATCAACTTCGTACCTGTAATAAATATGTACTTAGTGGTTTAAAATACTGCTATAGCGATTGGACCTCTTTGACGGCAAAGGATCGTGACCAAAATAATCCATAATCAAGGCTTCTCCTTTTAGAGTTTTTACAGGAATATTGGGATTTTGAGTAAATAGATGTTTTCTTATTGCGCGCGGAATGAGGGCTAAATTCAGGTAGAATTTGAAGCACTGCGTCAATAATGGAATGATTGGATTTTTTGGCTGTATGACTTAAGTAGGTTCCGTTTTCTGCCAAATTTTTCATTGCTTCAGAAAGAATACAGAAAGTGAATTCAAAATAGCAAATAAAATTTTGAAAGAGAAGCAACTGTTTACTGTTAGTTTGATGACATAATTCCAAAGCAAATGAGGCGTTAAAGGAAATAAAATCTACAGTTTAGTCTAAAATAGAGTGAAGCAGACGAAGGTGCAGTCATAGAAATCATACAACTAATAAGGACATAAGAAATAGATTGTGATTAAATGGCATCATTTTAATTTGAATATAACGATTTGAATTATACATTTTTGAGTGCAATCAGTGCCGAATGATAATGGTAGGGAAGGGCTGGAACTGTTTAGAAATTGCAGTAGTAGGGTGGGATGCGACGCTGAGGATGAATCGTATAGCTAGCGATTGAAAGAGTGACATTACAGAAAGAGCACCGATAGAAATAGTTTCAATATGAAACGCATTTGGCAACTTTACTAACTGCGCTCTGTTTGGCACCAAAAATTTAGAGGAGCCGGAATGTACCTCGAAGAGAACGAAACCGTTTAAAAGAAAAAAAAGTGTAAGACTAGTGGGATATTCCCATAAGCGTTGGTTTTAGGTGGCGTCCGTCGAGAAGTGCATGAAGTACATTTGAAGGAACTCCGGATAAGACTAATTCGACATAAACTGGAGTGATTTCTGAGAATTTAGAGACTAGCGTGTACTCAGACTGCTATAAAGAACACGGCATTGTTTATTTGCAGAGTGCAGATTTCAGCCACATCAACTGAACTACGAATACCATTTTGTGGATTCACGGAATAGAACACAAGCGAAAAAAAATTGAGATTATTTGCAGAACAGCAAATTGAGTGAACGAAACAAAAAAAAAACGAAGACTGCTGAGCACTTGTTGGGATTTTTATTCGGTTTTTGTTGACTGGAAGAGTGGCTTTGTTTGAAAAAATTATTTTGTTATTGCAAACTATTATAGCTTACAAATGGAACTTTGTATAACGGAGGAAAGGGTTTTTTGTGAGGAAATTGTGTTGTTACAGATGAGTTTGTTTGTTGTTTTAAGTATCTTTCTATCAATTAGACAGTGACTTTAAAAAACTAATTGACTTTTTTAGGCCCTCTCCTTTTTTAACTCCTTTTTTTCAATATAATGGGTAAGTAATAATAAGTAGTATTGTTCAGTAAAAAACATCCTAAAAACGTAATACTCAGCTGTAAGGATAACGTTTAACGGAATAAAAGAAAAGACGGTATAACGTCTAAATCTCGTCACCTGGCAGTTTTGTTTTTCTTGCCAGAATGTTTTCTTAAATGAAGCCTCGGCACACATAGCAAAAATATTTTAAGCTGGAGAGGCACATTTATCAGTACTGATTTTAAAGGTTCTATAACTTACCAGAATTTCACGATGTCTACGCCGGCAAAAATGTTTCTTTCAAATTCTACTTCGATTGCAACATCACCGTTCTCGAAATCAACCTTAAAAGTTATAAAGCTAAGATAGTTCCTCGTTCAACACAACTTTTTAATCCTGCTTATTTCTTTTTAAAATTATTTAATTTGTGTTTGTTTCAAATAACACTAAAGTATTTGCAATAAAAATAGTAAAGATGGCCTTGATTCTGTAGCACTTACAATACTAGGTTTTTGATAAATTTATACGTTTCTAAGGGCGACAGCGTCATGAAATACCACCGGTTTTTTTTTTTTTTTTTTT